TCTATGATTTCGAAATGGAGATTATTATTTTGTACGTGCATATGAGGAATTTATTCATCATGAAATAATATGTTAATTTAGAAAATGTTCCCGGAATAAACTTAAAATGTATGTAGGTATATTTATTTAAAAACATGAATATTATTTCTTTCTTTTACTATAAAAAAAAAAAACATTAAAGAATGATTCTAATGGATTTCAAACATGAACCAGATTGATATATAAACACGGCTAAACACTCACGTATATACGTCCGGTGGCGGCACCGACTAGTTTCGAGCCCATCGGGGGCCCTTCATCAGGATGAGTGCCGGTGCCGCCACCGGACGTATATACGTGAGTGTTTAGCCGTGTTTATATATCAGTTTAGTATAATGTCTCACGAAAGTTTGAATAATTTAATGAACCAGATTTTTTAATTGCTTCTTGAGTCTTACTAATTTTTGTTTGTTAGAAGGTATCTCTAGAACGGCTCGATGAAATTTAACATAGTTGTAGGTCATAGTCTGGAAGAACACATAGGCTACTAATTAAGTTTTTTTAATTCCCCGCAGACGGAGCCGTGGGCGACAGCTAGTTACTTCATAAACATAGGTAACTGACCAGTAGTTATTGGCCAATAGCAAACTGTACATTACGATGCAACTGCAAACGGTATCTCATAATGAAATGGCTTACAACTAATGGTACGGTAATGGTGGTCGCTATTTACATACATATGAATTGAACCAGTCATATACAAATGCGATTTAATATCACAAAACCGCGCAATAAATGATAGCGAACATAATTATTAAAAGTTAAATTTTAAATAAACATAAATTTACAAAAAATTATCGTATTAAATATTCTTTTTTATTATAATGGCTGAAAATTAAACTAAAACTAAAAGTAAACTTATCTTTAACGGCAAGATTGTTATGTTGGAATGTGGGGAACAGGAAGCGTCTGCGTTTACCGCTAACATATGCATCTTAAAGTATCCAGGATGGCAGAGATCATGGTAATAAGCGCTCGGTGGCCAGGAAGGCGTTATTCTAATGTACAACCATCTAACTGGTTTTTTACATCTATCTACACCCATTGAATTGACGACACCATTAGCCATCGGATTAAAAAGAAATAACACGTTTAATCATGAATCTTTTTGCTTCACTGTATAAGTCTTCTACGCATACTACTATACCTAGTATCGATGAGGTACTTTCCTGTGGTAGATAAAATGATAAAAATCAGTTTAGTAATAAACTGACTGCAATTAAATTATTATTTTTGTAATAATCAATAATAAAATAACTGAAATGATAATAAATTTTATTTATTTATTTATTTTGATACTTTTATTTTCTATTTATTAATAATATTGCGCGTTATGTTAAAATGCATATAATAAATTGCGAATTTATGGACACGGACAAAATACAAACAAATATTCATTCTTTTCAAAGAACTCATTGTGAAAAGTAATATAGATTATGTTATACAGTCAGGATTATCCTCTTAACCCTACTTGTCTTTTGGGTCAAGCCTTTCCTAAAATATTATGGCTACCCTAAAGCAAACCGCAAGGGTCGCGGATACAAGCGAGATTAGATGCAAACGATGGACCGGCGCTGATGGCTCATTTGCCTCTCGGATGACGCATTGATATCACAAGCATACCTCTACCGCTCTTATTACAATGGGCAAGGCAAATCACTTCAACCAAACAGTAGCAATTATCTCTATATTAAAGCTAAAACGATGCTTTACATAGTCAAGATAAATAAGATATGCAAACGATATATCTAAATTATCCCTTGTAATCTCTTAGATTAAGTACTAATTTATTAATTTACATCAAAATTAATGTAAAAGTGTATAGCCCCGATAAAATACTTTGTTAAAAATTACGACTACTATACTTCGTAACTAACATTGCGTAGTAACAGCACATCTGCATTTTGTTGCCATATGTAAGGAAATTTGGCCGTGGGATGGTCTATCTTTGGCTCTACAATGTCGCTTATTATTATAGCTTAAATATTTTTTTTTTAAATTAAATAAATTTAAATAGCTAAATAATGTAATCTAATTTACATACTATGATAAAAGATTTCTAAATTGTTTTAAACATCACATATCTATATATATATATATATATATATATATATATATATATATATATATATATATATATATATATAAAAGAAAGTCGTGTTACTTCCACTATTTTTAACTCAAGAACGGTTTTACCGATATGGTTGAAAATTGATGAGGAGGTAGCTTAGAGCCAGGAGACGGACATAGGATACTATTTATTCATTTATTATTGTATTTTTTTTAGTTTTTTTTTATATCCATGCGGACGGAGTCGCGGGCGACAGCTAGTTTCTTAATTTATTATCATCTCGTTAACCATCAATATTGTATATCGATTCCACATTAATTATTACGAATGAGGAGACTTAATTATGTCTAATTGTTATTCGCTAATCTGCGTCAAAGACATAAAGCTTAAGAGTATACTTGCATAAGTAGGTATTGATTTAATACAAGTTTTAATGTTTGAAAGCTTGTAAAAAGATACTATTCGAGTCAAAGTTAAATCTTTATATCTTTGTAACGTTAATTGAATAGATATAAAGTTTTCTTTTATGTCCACGATAGACATCTCAAATGCTTGTTCTTTAAGATTGGCTCGAACGATTGTTAGTGAGTGGACTGAACAAGACAGACACAACGATATGCCCAGTGCCTCGTGTCTCGTGACTCGTGCCTAATGCCCGGACAATGGGCCAATCGAACGTATTGCAAAAACCCCGACGAATGCTTCTTTGCTTTACAAAGGCGATCTTTTTAGTTCACTTGTGTATCTTGCCTCTTTTTATGTTTTGTTGATTTTTAATTAATTAATGAAATATATGTTTTTATTGATTCGTATTAAAAATGTTTCAATCGAGAAATAACTACTTAGTTGTGAACGTCTTCCTTTCATTGTTTAACTTAAAGCATTTTTATATTATAAAAAACAGTGATTATTATTTATTATTACTTAAGGAATTTTAAGGTTATTGAGGTTATTAAAAACATAATCTGATACATACAAAACTGTGTTATAAACAAAAAGCGACTCTTTATATTAAAACATATTAAGATTTGAAGTGTTACAATACGTAAATTAGTTAAATCGTAAACACAAAGTAAGTTAACATGTGACACGAACATTTCTATAATTAATTATTACCAGGAACGAGGTACGTCAATTGACAGTAGCAATATTGAATTGAAACAACACAATGCCCATAGCTGAGTCAATGTCCTCGAACAAGCCTCAGGGCGTTATTGTTATTCAGTACCGTGTACCGTGTACATTAATGTTATGGAACATTGCAGCGATTGTTACGGTAAACATTACGTAAATTAACCCACATTATTAAAATTCTTGTTTCACTATTACTCCTTTTATAGGAATTTAGTTTGAATAGCAACGGAACTAGGATAATATCTGACGTTTTAATTATAATGAAAACTGAACAATACAATTAAAATGTAATCTAATTCTACGCAATAGAAAACTTCTGAGTGGAAGTGAAAACTTCTAAAGGCAAAGATTAATTAATCTAAATATAATTCAAATTTTAAAGACTGAACTTACTGAAACAATAGTAATCAATATGCGATGGTTTTTTTTACTTAAGAAATATCATTGTAAAGATTTTTTTTTTGCCACTAATCATTGTAGTTGTGTGTATGAATCAATTTGCAAGTCAACACTCTATCATAAAGTAAACATAAATCTAGATTTCAAAGCGTCGATTGATGGAAAGCATTTCGCGCACCGCAAAATAACGTAGCTAAATCAAGTAATTGACATCGTCGGCACTCGTCGACCCAAAGAGCAACGACGGCCCATTCACGTAAAAGCCGGGGAAGAGTCGAACTGTTAAACTGCCGACGAAAAACAAGCAAACTTCAGTATATCGGGACGAGTCTACGTTGAACGTAAAAAACTCACCTACTTTCCGAGTACAAACAAAGTTGACAACTTTATGGTCGGAAATGTTGCTTGATTTTTGCGTGAATGATGCATATTTGAAACGTTAGAACATTATTCCATTTAAAAAGATGTGGATTTTAAAAGAATTTTAAAACGCGATAAATATTACCACATAATTAAATCGCGTAGAAATATTATGCAGAATTTAATGTGACATTTATGTTGCGATTATGAATTGAAAAAAAAAATAAAAAAAAAATTTTATAGCTTGAACTGAAATATCGCAAACTGCTGTTTTATTCATTTAAGTCTTTAGAATTTTCTACCTGAAATTGAAATAAGGCTCGTCACGTTCGTAAACTGGATTATTAAGATTTAATAGTATGCCAATATGAAATAGTAAAAACCTCTATAACAGCTTATTTAAATATACTTTTGAAAATTAATGAAGACATTATAATTTTCTATTATAAAAATTACCTAACAAAGGTGGAATATTAAACAAAAATAATTTTACCTACCTTAACTCCTAAAAGTTTTAATTTGCCTTCTTACTTGTATTTAATTACAAAAGATAAATACCAAGAACAAAGGCCGTATACCAAATAATCTCGTGAATTAGCTATCTTTTCCAACAAAGCCTTTGTATACTGAGAACACTTAACTTAAAATAGGAGTCATTTTCCCCAACAAAGCTCCGACTATACCAGTTCACAATTCACCGGTGCCGAAATAGCGGTTGTATTTGTCACCGACAAATTGTGTACACAGGCCGTTTTTAATTTGCCTTTGCAAATTGAAAAGACGAGTTAACACACACAACAAACAAAATCATTTACAAATTGACTTTCTCAACGGAAATATAACATGTCACTTTTTAAATCGTTTCAGTCAATATGCAATTTGCCGAAGTTTTTCTATTTTTCTGGACATTCGTCCATAAAACCGTTCGTTTGTCATTTGACAAACGGACGGTTTTACCAATTTACTATTCACAATCAGACAAGTGGGAAGTACTTACATTGTAGGACGTATGCAGCCAGTTCTGCGGCGAGCTCGAAACCCACTGGCAGGCGACCGCGAAGGACATCCTGCTTCAGCTGAAGGAATAATTGATACCTGGACGGAAAATAAATTGTAGTTAGAATATTTCTCAACCCAGAACTATAATATTTATTTTCTTTTTTATTTATTTTTTTGGTACAATGAAAATAATTTCTATAAAATGAAAGTTTCTCTTCAAAAACTATAACCTACTTTTACTCGTAAAAGAGTGAAATTAAAAAGAATTTTTAGTACTAATTTATTATAAATTAATACACTTTAAGTGCTTTAAAAAGCTTTGAAATTACAACTTAACATTAATTATTATTTTTGTTATCAACATTCTCAATGAAAGTACTCAAATACTCTTAATATTTATAAGACCGTGAAACTAAAAGTCTAATGAATTAAGTAAATCCATAATAAAAGGAATGCATTATGAGGAAACAGTAACGTTTTATTTCTTTCTACACGTCAAAGTGAGCTTAGTAAAAGGCTCTAAGAAATATAGCCCTTAAAAGGAAATTAAATATTAAAAGACCATCATGGCGAAGATTTTCAAAGATTTTACGAGTATTAAACAGCGGCCTTTACCTAAAGGGAAAGACGCTTTCACCGCACAGACGCAGGGGCTAAGACTCAGTGGAAGCGACAGGGGGCCGTCGACAGGGTAATAACAAAATTTTGATAAAATATTTCCGGTTCTCCGTCTTTGAAGTTTCTAAACAAGGAATGTCATCATTGACATAATGAATATGGATATTTCCCAGTTTCTGTACTTTAAAGGGACCGAAGGTAAAATTAAATTTGCGAACAAGAAATAAGATTTTAAAAACAAAGTAATTGATTTAATATATAGTTAAGAGCGTACAACATTTGACTGTCGAACTTTATATAGTACATAGTACTATAATAAAATATATAAACATTAAATATATTATATGTTTGAGTGGACGGCTAATTCGTAATTTATGTAGAGACCGTCAGCAAAGCACTCGGAACATTTGCCAAATTGCCTGTTGTGTGTAGGAAGGAGCAGAATTAGGTTACACAGCCGTTAACAAAAGACCGTATCTGTTGCACACATGTGCTCAACATAAAGTCATTTCTCGTTCATTTACGAAAACTATTATCAGAATATACTTATTAGTATAAAAGGTTAAAGGACTAAACGTGGAAGTACAAAATATAAGATAAATAAATGTTTTTGTTATTAATTATTTTTAAGAAATAAATAAGAAAATACTTGTGACGCACTTATAACAATGATGACGTGTCCCTTACACACATTTACCGCTGTATAATGCCTAAAAATAAAAGATATGTCTAGAAAGAATACTTAAATGAAATTGTTTATACCTATAAAATTATTAACTTAACATATATCGCACCCGTAATGTTCGTTAAAAATACTAAGAATGACACTATCGTGAATGTATCCAATTAAAAATGTTTTAAATGAAAAGTTTCACGAATGTTTTCAAAGGTTGCCATAAGTCGAGTACTCTAATGCCAGCGTGGTTCATTCATTCGTTTTATTTTAGCCCCTGTTTACGAGATCGCGGGCCAGAGGGCGCTGAGAGCGCGCACTTCCTTAACCACCACACTCTTACTCGATATTAACTTTTAAAAAGAATCTCATTTAATATTATATATAAAATCATACGTTCGCAATCTTATTTTCTAGCAGTGGTAGAGTTCAGAATTACTTAGCATTATTACTTGTTTTTATTTTTACCGGACATACATATAAGTTCTAATGTTCTTTATATTTCCCATAAAGATATTAAAAATAAATAATTAAAATCATTGTATTTTTACGAACATTTACATAAGCAATTGTTTTAAAAAATTCCTAAAATTCTTCCTTCCCTATCCTTTCTTCCTTTCTTATTTAAATTAATGCACAGCAATTACATAGAAAAACTACCACCAAGTTCTAAAGAACTTTGATTTAGAATACGCCCAAAATAAACCAAAATGTAACAGCGAAAACACTTCGCCGTTATGACTATGTTTACAAAGTGATATTTATTAGACGCGTGCTTTGATGGTCCCGTTGAGTCGGATGGCTTGTTTATTGAAACATCGGTCGGTCGATGAAAAGGCCTATCTGTTATGGTATCACCGCCCGCACCCGCCTTGCTGCCGCCGCGTTGTCATCTCCCAACCTGAGTAATGACTCTAACACCCTACAGTAACTATAAACAACGATATTGAAATGAAATGTTTCATAATGTGCGCCAAAACTAGATGAATATTAATTAGAGCTATTTTAATATGAGATAGAAAATTGATTAACATTTTGCTTTATTTCATTGGAGAGTTACTTCTTGTATAGATAATTCATTGAATAGTCTTAATTGCAAAACAAAATTTCATTTATTTTGTACTTAGTAGAGCTCAGACTTTCTTTTTATTTAATTACATTATTAAAATATACCGTCCAATTCACGAGTAGTATTGTTACATTGTAACATTAACTGCATTTCCTTTATAAAAGCTCTTTTAAGTCACACACAAAGATGTGCCGTTTAGTACACACATTTCAAATTACAACTCAAAACGTATACGTACGAGTATCAGACGACAATTGGCGCACTAAGGACATCCATTTAAAGAGGAACGCGTCGCGTCGAGAATCTCAGGCCCGCCGTCTAAGCCGTCTACACAATTCCCGCCAGGATTTCATTTCCCCGGACTGCTTAAGCACAAGTCTCCACAGTCAAAGGAACAAAGACAAAGTTAGCTGCTCGCATTCGATTACTTAAGGTATTCAGAATAAACAAACTTACTTAAAAGAAGTCATTGTTACTTGAAAGACGTCGCACAGGAAAGGCTCATAGAAAGAATTTAACCTGAAGTCTTGTGACGTTGATATTGCTATTTATTTTTATCTACTGTCAGAGTTTTGGTTACCCTGAAACACGCACGCTATTTTACATATAAATCTGGATTAAATCGATAGTATATTCATAGCTACTGCTAGTTCTCAAATTAATAAATTTAATACTTATATGCATATTATTTTTTCATCAAAATAAAATAACCAAGCAAGAATAAATCTAGATGAAAGAAAAATATATTCAAAGTCATATTACCGCGTAGATTGAATTTTGTAGGTATTTTGGAGAGGTTATAAGTTTAATAGGGATCCGTTACTCAAAAATTGCCTTCGTGCCGACAATGGAAAGGAATCCTTTGTGACAGCTAACGGGATTGTGTAACTAAGGTTAAGAAGCTCTAGTAAAGACTTGCCTCTCAAAGGGGCCAGGAACATTTAAGACGTTCGGAGACTAAGTATTATGTACTTTGTCAGGGTTCAGGCAAAGTTAACATTATATATCGTGGTATTTAACAACAACTAATCTTACTAATATTATAAATGCGAATGTAAAGATGGATGGATGGATGGTTTGTTTGAAGGTACCTTCAGAACGACAGAACGGATCTCGATGAAATTTGCCATGAATGTAGAACATAGTCTGGAAGAACACATAGGCTAATTAAGATTTTTTTTATAATTCCGCGCGGACGGAGTCCAGGCGATTGCTAGTGTTATATAAGTTTAAACTTTCGTGGATTTAACTAATATAAAGTTTGTAAGAGACGAGACTTATATCCAAAACTGTTATTAACACCTTTCTGTTGCATTAATAATGAATTAACTTCTGAAAAGACTTATAAGTACTTCAAATTATTAATTAAATTTTAATCAAACATTTAAAGAATAGCCACACAAATTCATTACATCACTATTATACTAATTTTATAACTGCGAATGTTTAGGTGAATGGATGGATGGATGTTTGTTTAAAGGTATCTCCCAAACAGTTTAACGGATCTTGATGATTTTTTTCATAGATGTATAATATAGTCTGGCAAAACACATTGGCTACTACTTCTTTTTTTTATTCCGTGCGGACGGAGTCTCAGGCGATAGCTAGTAAGACTATAAGTAAAGTTGTGTGGATATTATAGGGCAATAAAATGCTATGCTGACACAGCTTTCAATATGAGTGTGGCACGTGGAGTGAGCAGATGTATTTTATTGTCGTATTCCGTCCCTCAAAGCTTGATATTAATGTGCTGTAAGGTAGATATTACGACATTATGCCACACATAAAACATCATACAGAAATATAATAATATAACAACTAGACAAATACTCCAATCGCAGTTTTTTTTATTTGAAATCTATATTTCTGGTAGCATTAGTTCCAAATTATATAGATACAATTTTTCATGAATTGTAATTATGTCAGTTAAGCATTTGATCACATAAATAAAATTAAGTAGGCATAGGTACGTAATGTTATTATTTTATTTTGCACAGTAAAAGTAAATAAGTTTAATTATCCATAACATGACTTTTTTTGGTTATTTCCTTAATTTTCCAGAATAATATATAATATATAAGTCGAGTTTCACAAGTTTGAATGTTTAAAGCGCTCTCTGGTAAAATTTGATTTCTTCAGTTACTTTAGTTTACGTAGGGACCGTCGATAGGCAAATAGTAAATTTAATATTTTCTTCTTTGATAAGCTAATCAACGTCAATATGTAAATATAACAAAAGATTAAAGTTATGAATATAATCAATCTTAACTTAATATAGGTTTTCCACGGTAACTAAGAACCAGATTTAATGCTGTAATCATAAATAATTATATTCTACGAGCACAATGCCTGGTAGTTAGGGAATGACGTTAAATCCAAAGTGGCCATTAGAGCCGTAATAAGTGAACAGGCCTCCAATATACCGCTCTGCGGGGATTAATGTTCATGTAAATTTAATTTCTTCCCTCTAACTTTAATCTACATAAAACATGACCATTCTATACTATATTACATGACTACAGTGTCACTTGCGAAAACGAAAAAAAAATATATTAAAACTGGAGAAATCTAGATTTCTTGTGTTACGTATATCATTTCTATCAGCTCCAGAATTTAATGGTTCTATGTTTCTTTTAATTCTAAAGGACCCTACGTTGAAGAACGAAAGTCATTATCACGTTAGCAAAGCCAATAATCGTTAATTTGTTGACACTTAACGAAGATACCATCTCGTACTAAGAAGTTTCTCTGACGAGTTCCTATATGAATAGATGCAATTGCTTATAGAAACTCGTCAGAGAAATAAGTACTACGTGATTGATGTCAAAAGCTATAGAACAAAAAGAAATCCAATAACATATAATAGATATTAAAAAATAAAATATACACAAAAATATATGTGTCTATTACTAATAAAATTTTTGATCTAATATGTTTTTGAACGTAGACGAAAATGTAAATTGGTAATTATAACTGTTATCAATGCATTACTGACCATTTAAAACATAACAGTAAACTCTATTACGTGTATAATAATTATGTACAAAACTAATATTATATAGCAAATAAAATACATAAATAACGCAGAAAGTTTTCTGCTCTATCCTAATTGAGGGCGAATTACGAACAGGATGAATAGAAATCGAGGCGTATCCACTTATAGTATCAACACAAGCTACCATTTTATCGTTTACTTTGATCTGAACCACGTAAATAAACATTTCTACTGCTTTTAAATGTGAAGCAATTAATTTCAAACGTATCTTAGCGATTCCAAAACATATCGATATTTCCAGCAAAGATTGTGTAGCAAATACGAAATATATGTAGATATAGGTTTTTTTTTTCTATTGCCTTTCAAACTCAGTAAATTGGCAGCATCAACAGGATTTCCGTAAACCCATTTTATGTTCAGAGTTAATAATTTCGTTACAACAATTTGCCCGAATTCAATATCTTACGAATTCGAACTTCGTGTTATCACAAAATTATTATACCTATATAAATTGCAACCTAAACTTTGAAATTGGAGTGACGAAAGTTATTCCGTTTGGAATGGGCACGATAACCTTTTCATTTTCTATGTATTCAATTAAATTCCTTCATCTAATATGTTATTCCATGTTTCTTATCAATGAATATAAAAGAGCGATTGAACTTTTAAAATCTCCACCAATCTTTTTGACACAAGTTCGTCTAACTTTAACACTTACTACCAGTAAAATTTAAAAAATTAGACAAACAAAGTATTACCTGGTGATTTCTTCTAATAACTTGCACGGGTCGGCTGCGTAGAATTTGACTCCGAAGTAAAAGGTGTGCGAATCGGAGCCACGAAGCTGGCGTCGGAGCTTCCGGCCCGCGTCCAACCAGTGCTAAACAAGTTCATTTTTATGTATTTTGTTTTTATTACATAAGCTGTTTTTAACAACTTTATTTTATTTGTTATAATTTATCTTACTAATATTATAAATGCGAATGATTAGATGGATGGATTTGTCATAGATGTAGATCATAGTCTGGAAGTTTGTTTTAATTCCGCACGGACAGAGTCGGAGGCGACAGCTAGCATATCATTTTTACTTTTATCATTAATATTTGTCAACAAACATCGGCTCATACAAAATAACATATATGTTTAAATATGCTGCTATAACATAAGAAACATTTTCAAAAGAAAAAATGTTCTTACCGTTTGGTTATCTTGATCCACATAGCGAAGACCGAAATAAGCTGTTTCTAAAAGATCTAAATGCCTAAACACCACGTCGAGGAGCGCTTGGCCGGTGCTGTTGTCCTGTGAACAAATCTCTTTATAAATATCATTGAAAACAACAACTACATATATGATGTTGAAGAAAATACAAAAATAATAATATTATTTAAATTTGCTTCCTACTTGTATGTTACATGGATATGATATTTGAAATAGATAACTTGAGATTTTCCTTATTGGATTTGTGAAATGAAATCAACAAATCTCATATCATTCGCATCTTTATCTTCTTTAGGTAACAAGAGTGATATGTTTCCAAATTTATAAGACAAAAACATCAAAGTATTATTATATAATATACCATTTATTACATAAGTTCAAAGACAATCATACTGTATTTGTTTCGTATTAAAACATATTTCCATCTTGCTTTCTTCACAAAGAGTAAAGGAGATGTCAATAAGGGTATATACACAAGTGTTGAATTTCAACAAATAGGCTGGTTATGTTTGAGATAATATTTCAATATACTCGTTTAAATTAAAGTAAATTATAAGTACTTATACAATTTCTTTTAAATCCTCTACAGGAAAATGCTTCTCAAATATACTTCGTTGTTACTTAAGGCAATAAAGTAGCTGTTAATAAAAGCTCTCATCTCAAATGTTCGGGATGAATGCTGAGGTATAATTTGGTGAACTGAAATGCCTTCGCCTCCGGCTCCGTGAAATTCCCTGTGAGAGTCAACTTAATCAACCGTTAGATATACAATTTCTTTTAACTTAATTCGTGCTTAGGGGCATAATTTTATGATGAAATTCAATTTGAAGTACTTCGCTTAGTAAAACATTTAATAATGTAACAACGAATATATTTATTTTTACTTTTTAAATACCTAACAATTCACATATAACTATTAAATAATTATAAAAAGACGGTAATTATTCTAGTTGTTATAACATATCTTCATTATTAGCTATACACGGAGGAAAAAGCTTCGGACTATATTGGTCTAGTATGAAACAAAATGCATCGTGAGTATGAAAAATTAAATCAAAGTTTAAAAAACTCGATGTTCTACAGACATAGTAATAAAAGCAAAACGAAAGCGTAAAAAATCGCGACCGCTCCATATTCCCACGATACCGAAACGAGTATGGTACAAATTAGAATTTCTCGATGCCTGACTTTCGTCAATTAAGCTCATTCGCACGCGATGGTAGGGTGGTAACACCAGTAGTTGGTGATATGGCATTGGCATCATAATGATAGGGGGTCTGGTGGGAGCTATCACGCACATCACGAACGTATTTAGATGCCTCTTCACTTTGATTGATTTCTGAAGCCATTAAATCATTAAATTTATGTAAATTACAACCAAGAATGCCAATAAAATTAATATAAATAAATTATTTAAATTAGTATTGTAGTTATGTTGCTACTGAAAATTACTTGTGTTAATAATAAATTATTAATAGTTGGACAGAAACCTTATTACATTTTGTATTTACGAATAGAAATGATTTTCTAAAAGTCAATTCACTATATAAACTAAATGGAATAAAATCCTCAAAACCGATTTTATACGAAATAGTACACAACTCATTTAATTTAATCGGATTATAAACACAAAGTTTTCTCAACTGGAACGTAATATGTTGCCCTAAAACAATATCCATACGTAGTACATTTACCTTTATGGATAAAAACAGACGAAACAGTTCGTTGATCTGAATAATAAATGATTTAATAACGGAGCCTCGTCTGTTCTCAGCAAATTACTTTCAGCTCGGTAAATGGCCAGCAATCTTATAATCTGACAGACAGAATTTCATTTAAGTGTGATGATCATACGTCAAATATAAATAAAATAAAATAAAACATAATTGCAATATTTTTTAAGTAGCTAGAGGCAAAGATTTCTTCGAAAGTAGAATATCCATTTAAGTAAATGATTCAAAGTTGAAAAACAAAAAAAAAATAAGAAAAATACAGGCTACATTTTAATAAAAAGTGCAAAATATACTAAAAAAGAAAGTACATTGACAGCTCAAAACGTAACCTCGATCAAACAATACATACGGTCCAATTTGTTCCAATACCATTCCGTATAGAACGATTGTATGGTGACATTCGATTCTTGCTACAATTACTGAAACATTGTTATCGATATTTCGATTAATATTTCTTTCACTTCTTAGAATTGTGATAAATCATATACGGTTCTGTTTCCTTTTTCCGCTGGCGTTCATTAATTATTCCATTGAGAATGTTTCCGCTTGTAAATACTGGCGATAGAAGCAATTAACACTGACGTATACAGGTTGTTAGAACCAATATGGATGTGAAGAAAGATCGGTATTTATTAGACTTCCCTTCAAAGACATGCGTACTTAGTCCACTTTCAAAGAATGTGCTATCAGGCAGAGCCCTCAAGACTGCAAAAAACTAATTAGATCTATCATTGGAGGGAAACTTTCGAGAAAACGTCTTCGAGAACTTTGTACTTAATTGATTTTAATTTAACTTTCATTTATAATGATGGTAATAATTTTCTTTAACAATATATCTTGTTTATGAATAAAACGAATAACGAATGAAAGGAAAGGAAGCTTTGTTTTTTTGTTAATTGAAATTACATGATGCGTTTTTGAATAACAAACTATTGATTATTAATATTTTCAAAAAGAGAAAACTTTTTGTTTAATTTTTGTTTGGAAAATTCATAACTATTGGCCACTAATATAAAGCTGTTCTATCATCGAATAACATAGGCTACTTTTTATTCGCGACTGAAGCTACATATGTTATAAATAATTTTACAGAGGTATACCGCTCATTATTTTAACACTGATCTTTGAGGCGGCTACCGTAGCTCGTGTAACCACTAACAAGCGCTTTTGCAACTGAACTCCATTGTTGAAACTGTCGCTTGCATATGTGTAAGTACGTTCAAGTATTGTTTTACGCGAATATATTACACAAGTTACGTTACATGCAGCGAGTATTGAAAACAATATGTGAAATTTAAATGTAAATAAAATAAATGTTAAAAAGCAAATACTACTAAGGTCATGGATCATACATTTTAAAATATATGACCTAAGACTAGGGTGATAATAAAGGGTAAAAGTATTTTAATAGTATAGTCAGATTTAATGCAAAGCATTGTGCACCGTACGAACACTTAAGTGAAATGTGGTACTTGATAACTACCGCAATTAGAGTCTTTAAGTGGTCCCCCTAGTGTAGGTTCAATACTAAAAATCTATGTTTAGAGTCTGCGTTAGTGTCCAATTGACGCTGAATGAGAAAATACTGATTTATACCTTTGAATTCAGGATCTTAAATATCTATTGCACGGGAAATGAGAGTGAGAACGTTTTATAGTTGTTTGATAAAAAAGTGAAGACACAACTAGCAGACAATAAAGACGACACCGATAGAGGCGCGTGGCGCGAAGTGTAGTTGTGCACTGAGACGTGAAATGCCGTCGACTCAATTTACCATCGCGACACATACAACCAGCCGTCTAGATATATACACACGAAGTTTACGTAAACAGAGGACATAGCCCGTTGTATAGTTTGACAGTAAAATTTTGCAGAAATCACCGTCGCACAAAAGAGTGGTTTTGAAGACGTAGTAGCGGTCCTTCTCCCTCATTTGAGTAGTGTGTAGACACATAAGTCATTAGGTAAGCTTTCAATTCTATATTCCTTTTTATTTATACTCAAATCTAATATTTTTCTGGGAAAAGGAATCGAAAGTTATCAAGCAATCCGGTTCTTCTATCTTAGAATATCAGTAAAATAAGTTACTATATTGAACGCGAAGAAAGTAAACTAAGTCAATCTATAATGTAACAATCCAAGAAAAAACAAGCCAGCAATAAGAACGAGACTGATAAAGCAGTGCGAGGCGCGAAGTGCATTTGTCCGCTGAAACGTGAAATGCCGTCGCCTCAATTTGCCCACACCACTCCCGAGTACCCGACCTCCATCTCCTCTATACTACGTTTCCTAAATTACAGGACAATTTCTTCGACACTCGTTCAACCAGTCGAGACGTACGAGACTACAGAGAATGGACTATTCTCATTCCGTCTGTGTTAAACGACTGTCTTGATTTTGTACCTTTTGTGACTCTTCTTGTAGCATATTTATTTATTTATTTTAATTGTTTCAGTTTTAAATTAACAATTGTGTATGGTTGCGAAAAAATTATCCTATTTTCTTTTCCTGAAATCTTACCCCTTACTTCTTAGTAATATTATATCTTATCTTACCAATATTATAAATGCCAATGTTTGAATGGATGGATGGATGTTTGTTTGAAGGTATCTCCAGAACGGCTGTACGGGTGCCGATACAATTTTGGCATAGATGTAGAACAAATTCTGGAAGAACACATAGGTTACTAATAAAGTTTTTTTTTTTTAATTCCGCGAGGACGGAGTCGCGGGCGACAGCTAGTTGCTTATAAAAACTCGTTATAAAATACAATCACCTTTTTCATTTTCTGAAACATATTTTATTTATTGAATAAAATTCAAATGTCACATTCGAATAAATTGTAAAAAAAGACAAACCCAACTCTGAGGAGTATTAAATGAGATTATGAATTTCTACCTGGCACTTCTGTTTCATTTCTTCCGCATCAATACTCACCCGAGTATTACGGAGGGTACTGTTAAAACAGCTTTTTTATTACGAAAATAATCTTGTTGACACACATTCGGATACAAATATCATCCATTACATTTTACACGAAAATAAAAATATTTGTTTACGAGTTTTGATCCTCAATACATCATTAAGTGGCATCACCAGGCTGGGAACCTTTGTTTGTTATACAAATAGGTCCGACTATGTACATACTAGCACTTATGTAGATAATATTAATAACTCTTCAATTTATTTGGAACTTAATAAATATTAATGAAAAACACTTTTGTTCACGCTATTGCTGATATTTGTAAGTCGTAAGATACGCTGTCATTGGCTTTGTTGACTAAATAAAAAAGGAAACAATTTTAAATCAATCCTTTAAGTGAATATGTAAATAGTTTGAGCAATAAATTCTTAGCGCACAATCCAATTTGTCCGTTATGAGAAAAGAGGAAAGTTTGACTGGATCCGTTTGAGACAAATGGCCCTTTGTAGATAGGAAAACTCTGGGAAGGGCGACGATTTATCTAAAATAACCATACAATTTAGCTGGAAAAGTCGAACTCTCGTCGCTTCCACTTTGCCCGAATTGGCGATTCTAGTCCAATATATATCTCTGGAATTTGTTTGACGATCAACTTACGCGAAGGATTTCGGTCCGGGGAAAAGAATATCTATAACAATTGGACCGTTGTTTACGGTTATGTCGCGAAGTTATAGCGACTGTGTCCGGATAAGTGTCGGCCCCGTTGGCCGACAAAATTATATGATCTCGTGTTCAACAGAGTTTTCAAGATAATGCTGAGATAGTGCTTTCTAAGCGTAGAGGGGCGTGTTAGCAGAGTGACCTCATAAATTATTTAGTTATAACCTTTGCGAACCTTCACACTTTTTCACAAGTTGTTTTTTTTTATTTTTCACTTTATAGTTAAACGCAGACTACAATCTACTAACCAAATTATGTATTCATGAGACTTCATAGCTCTATTTATTCAAGAGATATAGTAATGCCACTAATTATTAATCAAAATATTCGTTACATATTAATAAATAGCATGCGTTATTTCCGTACAATCACGTTGTACACAATAGAAATGACGATATAATTATCCAGGTAACACGTGCGTCGCCGCCACAGCCCGAGCCGCGAGCCGCTCTCACATTCACCGCGCGACAATACCCGCCCGATAGAATTTAATATTCATAGAGTCGACGTACGATTCAGTGAATTCATCGCCCGCGCCTCGGACCCCGGTGCCGCATATAAAAGACCTTCCCCGACCTCCCGGTTGTATACTCAAATAATACCTCTCCAAATGCTTGCTTCAAAATAAATAAGTAAAAGTATTTTGCCCTCAATCATTCTTAATTTCTCTATTGTTAACAATAATTGTATGTTAAAAGTATAATAAATATAATATTTCATATCGACTTCTCAAATCTCGAAGGTGTAACAGATCTGTCAGGGACTCAAAGGTAACGAAATAGAAACATAAAAAATCTTCAGCTGTGTTCGCGACGAAATTGAAAAAAGCCCTCTGAAGTCCGCGGGGACACGCGCTGAAGAGCTTTGAAGTAATCTGACCAATTTTAGGCAGAAATATGAAAGGAATATGTCAAAAGCCGCAACTAAAGCCCAAAGGTAGTTTGGAATCAATTTCATAACAATAGACGAACTATTTGTTGGCATTCTATTTAGGATATGCACGAACAGATACAAATTAAAAGAAATGTATACAAAAATTTACGTTATAAAGGAACTTGATTACTACGTCTCAATTAAATGGGTTGAGAAACACTAATAATAATTACCTGCATTTCGTGCAGCAGCTCCCTTTCGTCCAACAAAACGACGCGGCAGGCAAGCGCGCGCGGCGCAGGGCATAGGCAGTCCATCATCCTGCCCACACCTAGCGCTCGCCTCCTCCTGAAAAAAAAAACATTCTTGAAAAAATAAGAACACTGGAACACTCAGATATACCGTAACTGACAGCAACAGACTGTCTCCCCCATAATACTGTTCTTGTTAATACATTAACTTAATCAATTAATCTTGAAATAAAAGAAATTCTTAAATATTAACGTTAACGAAGGTATATGGGAATATAGTATTAATAGCTTGACTTAAGAGAGGTAATAACTAACGCATTTTAGATCATATTAGTTAAAATTGTATTAAATCAAAGATAATTTGTAGAGATTTTCTGTTATTAATTAACTGTTCAGAGTTCATTCTAAAAATCAATGAGGAAACTGATGCATATCTCGATGGATTTGTTGTTCTTCGACCCACTCGTGCGCTATTCAGGTATTTCAAAACATGGTAACATCGGTGTTCCATCCACAAAGCTTGAAGTTGTTTGAAGGCAATTACGGAGTTATTTGCAGTCCGACTCAATAGAGAAATCACCAAAGGGTCGGTCGAAACCAAATATATCCTCGTTAAAAGTTAGTCCGGGGAATACCGGCTCGCACCGGTTTTAACAATTTTATTTTAATTAGTAACTGCACCCTTCCTAATGACCGAATTCGAATTGACTATAAACATAATATTTCAAAATATCATATCACGTAACTTTACGATTTAACTTACGGCAAATGTAATACGAGAAAATGCTTATGTTTTGCTTTGTTTTAATAATAAAATAAATGTTATTATTATACAAAACTATAGAAAAACTTAATAAAATATTCTTAAACTTCTCGTACAATTTTAAAGATTAGAAAAAGAATGAGCGAGTAAACTCATAGCAAACAAACCGTGAAAGGAAAAGGCAACATTAAAGCGCCTCAAACACTGCATCACGGAACTCTTAGCAGCAAGACAAACCGAGAAGTTTGAAACAAACAACAAAGACGGGGCAATACGAGCCATTAATCCGAACGATCCCGACAGAGATTAGTGTTGCTATTGAACCCCGCTACCCGCGACCCGCGCCCGCGCCTCTGCCGCGCCGCCCCCACTGGAAAACATTTCCTAGCTATTGTCTGAGCGGAAAATAAAAAAAAGAATCTCGATTGACAACGTGACCCTGCGACGTGATCGCATTCGCGCGCCCCCAGCCCCGCGCCGGTATTCCCGCCTTTTGTTTCACACACATTCATAGAGTAGTAGATAGACACCCATCAATCGCACGATAACCGCTGCATTTCACCACAATATACCCACGACATCATTGTTTAATAATTATCAAGTGTTCTCATGTCACTGCTTCCTAGCCTATACAAAAAATAATAATAACAGATTTTTTTATCAAATAATAAGTAAGGGTACTTGATACCATTCGATTAGAACTGTTATAATGTACGCGGGAAAGAAGAGACATCGACAATTACAATTTAATTGGTCTTTGATTTCGCGATTATATTAAACTTGTTCCAAAGACGGTGAAAAATTAGTGCAAAGCTCTAAAGTGGTAACAAATGCTCATCCTATGATCCATGTGAAACTTTAGCCTTTAGAAAATAACGCATCAATCCGGTTCAAAAATGTTCCCCCGACTTCTACTGTAAAATTGAAAAATAGCACACAAACTGTCGGTTATTTTTTATTGAAAATAAATTTTTTCGGTGAAAATGGACCAAAAAAAAATTGAAACGCGTTTGAGATAGGAACGTTACAACGAGATGTAATAAAATAACCTAACAGATTTTACGTTATAAATATTTCCGGGGAAGTAATTAAACTACAAGAACTTGTATATCGTGCATATTAAAAATAATGAAGTATCATAATGAAATTTAGATTATAAATAAAATTTCATGTAAATTTTAAATTCAAAAACGCTTTTAATAGTTTGTTCTAACACTAAAAAGTCACAACACACCACATTGGTCAAGAAAATAATCTGCAATATATGTTCAAATATCAACAATGGGTACACAATGTTTTTACAAATCTATTCTTCTATCTATTATATAATAACTCAAAATATGATTACATGTCTCTTGTGTATTATATATTTGTTCGTCTATAATGTATATTAGGTGAGCATTCGACTGTAACAGAGCATCACGTAACAAGTTTTCCTGTTACACTAATTGGCCAGTTAACCGGGGACGTTTCCTAGGATACCCACACGATGTCACATAACACATGTACATACATGTGTATATACATATGTATATACATATATCTCTACGGTTAGGTAACTGGAAGCTTAATAATATCAATGAATATTATTTTTTTAGCTCTTTTCTTTTCTAGTTTCTTTTGTTACGTTAATATTATACTTGACATTAAAGAAATGCTCTTAGGAGAAATTTTACCGATTGATTTACATCTTACTTCTTACTTATATTATAAATGAGAAAGTCTAGGTGGATGGCTGGATGGATGGATAAATAGATGTTTGTTTAATCTCCAGTACGGATTAACGGATCTCGATGAAATTTAGCATTGATCTAGAACATAGTCTGAAAGAACACATGCACTACTACTACTATTATTATTTTCAATAGAAAATATGAATTGGAAGAATAGTGCAGAATTTGCTAATGACTTTTAGAGGTAAACTTAAACGTTGAGTAAAACTGTATTTCAGACTAGCGTAAAGTATTTTGAAAACAGTCATAATAAGAGCTTCAAAGCCGACAGTCTAGTAAACTACGTAGACAAGATTTTAACCCTCTCCACAAGCCTTGTCGAATACGTTGTGAAGGCATTGGCTTGATGTCTGAATAAATCCAACTAGGATAACATAGAAGATCTATTTTTAATTATGACAAATGTAATTTAAGAGAAAAATCGGCCTAAGTGAAATCAAATGACATCACGATCTTCTAGATCATATAAACATAAGACTATCTTCAATTACCAATGAAATACATAACTGAACCCTAAAAAAATTATACCAAAGGACACAAAGTCAGTAATTAAAGTAAATGTACATGTAAAATTTTTGAAAGTAAACAAAAATTTGCATCGACTTTTTATGAAATAAACTGGATATCCGTTTATCGACTTGCAATCTACATTTATAATTTAGTTGCTTTGATAGCCACCAAGACGTGTTATTTTAACATGACTATAGTCCAGGATAAAGTACGCCCACACAGCGGCAAAGCTAGCTCGTCGTTCGGCCTTCACGCAGTCTTACAAATCTTCACACACCGTACTGTGCACTATTTTATGCAATCGGCGATTATTGCAGATATTTATCCATACTTTTGAACATTATTAGTTAGAATGTTTTGGCGCGAATGACGTGCTTTCGTTACAAAGTCCTGTGTCAGAATGAATAGTGAGGGGACACAAACGTCGACATTTTAGTAAGGCTATTGTTGGGTCAATACACTGCCCCATTTTCGGATTTACTTCCTAACAATACAATACCATCTTTATCGTCTTTCTATGTGCATTTGCATATCTTATTCTTTATTTTGGACAATAAAACCAGATATCAAGCAAATTAAGATAATTTTGTTCATTAAATATCTCTACAGTTTAAAAAACATTAATCATTTTTTTCTTCTATGGCTCTTAGAGCAAAATCAACGAGAACATGTTTAGATTTTTACATCATTTTTTTTATAGCATGTCAGGAACCTCAAGAGAGGTAGAGATTCAACTTAGAATAGACAATGTAAATCACTAGGGATAATTGTAATGTCGGAATTTATAATTGGCAAATTATTAAAACTGTGTAAAAAAATTTAAGATTTTATCCAATTTAACATTAAATCAGTGATTTTAAGGTCAAGAATAGGTGCCAAAAAGCATTGTTTCTGGTACCATCAAAATTTTTAATAGCCTTTGAATGAAAGTACCAAAGTTAATCTAGATATCTACCTTACTAACAGTAAAGAATACACATGTAAATATGTATATTTGAACATCATTCATAGGTGTGGTGTGTGAGGGTCATACACAGGTATAGGCCGGGGCGGACGCTCTTGGATGCCGTCACGCGCCCGCACCACGCATACTGATGTTCCTTCGCGCTTTGAACACAAACATGCTTTTATTCATAGTAAACCATCGACCAAGAGGACAAATGATAGTTCAATGGTTGTATGTTAATATGTTAAACGTTCTCTTGTAACCTTTGAGTTCGTGCAATTTGCTCAACTGTTCGCTCTTCAATGAACTACGATCGAATATTTGCATAATTGTATCTGGGAAAGTGGTAATGTTTCGTTCGAAGCTATAGAAGTTGTTTAATTGATAAACTTCCTTGTATCAATTTCCTATGTCTTCGGTTGATTATTAATACGAAGTTACTTTATACGGCACCTTTATTTACATTGATTTTTATAGTTGACTTTAGCTTAATAGCTGTGTAAATACGTCTATACTAATATTGTAAAGAAAAAAATGTTTGCATTAAATAGGCATCGAAAATACTGAACCGATTTGAAAAAAGATTTCACTGTTGGGAAGCTACACTACGCACGGGTGTCTTTTGTTTTAAAATGATAATAACAACAGTACTCAACAATAAATCTTTACAAACTTGAGCTAAGAGATAGTATACAAAATAATATTAAGATTTAAACAAACTTTCTTGATATAACTATTCTTTCTTTAACCTTTGACGCCAAGAAAATGTTATCGGTCTCGACAAACGCCGGAATAGTGATCTTAGTGGGTATACACTATAAAAAGCCGGACCATTAACGGCCGTGCCAAAAGGAGGAGCGTTTAGTACGGCGTTCGGCAAACCGTGCCAAGAATAGGGATTACGACTAAACCTTTAAACTTACTGGAGATCCTTGTCTAACAGTAAACTTTTATATTTATATACAAACAAAAAAGAAAACAAGTATTAACACATTCCATGCTATTACGATTTTTGGAAAATGAACTCGACAGGCGAGTCGGTGGCACTGAATGTGTTAATATAACTGAAGTACGTAATTGGAATAAAGGAAAAACAAAGTTTTTATTGCAATTAAAATTGAAATGTAAACACGGTATTAAATCTC